CCATCCATCAACCCATCCATCAACCCATCCATCAACCCATCCATCAACCCATCCATCCATCCATCCATCCATCCATCCATCCATCCACCACCCACCCACCCATCCATCCATCCATCCATCCATCCATCCATCCAGCCAGCCATTCCTCCATCCATCCATCCATACATCCATCCATACATACATACATACATACTGTACATACATACATACATACATGCATACATACATACATACACGCTTTGAAGACCCGAACAGACCACCCAGCACCAAACTCACCTCGCCACCGGATGAAGAGCATCTCAGCGTGACCTCAGCAGAAGTAAGGAGTACCTTCAGGAGGATTAATCCGCACAAAGCAACTGGCCCAGACAACATCCCCGGAAAAGTGTTGAAGGAATGTGCTGATCAGCTCTGTGAGGTGCTGGCAGACATCTTTAACACCTCACTTACCCTGGAGACAGTTCCCACCTGCCTGAAGACTGCCACCATCATCCCAGTCCCAAAAAGCTCTACAGTGACTGGTCTGAATGACTATCGGCCAGTGGCCCTCACCCCGATAGTCACTAAATGCTTCGAAAAACTGGTCATGACTCACATCAAAACAACCATCAACATCAACGAGGACCCTCATCAGTACGCATACCGTGAGAACCGATCAACAGAGGATGCAATCTCCTCTGTGGTCCACACTGCACTCAACCACCTGGAGCAGAAAAACTCTTACGTCCGTATGCTCTTTGTGGACTTCACATCCGCCTTCAATACCATGATCCCCCAAACCCTGATGGACAAACTATCCACACTAGGACTAAGCCCCTCCATCTGCAACTGGGTACTAGACTTTTTAACAAACAGACCACAGTTAGTGAGGATCCACAACCTCTCCTCCTCCACCATAACCCTCAGCACTGGCTCTCCTCAGGGATGTGTGTTGAGCCCCCTCCTGTTTACTCTGCTCACATATGATTGTGCAGCTACCCATCCAGGCTGTCACATTGTAAAGTTTGCAGATGATACAGCGGTGGTGGGATGCATCACAAACAATGATGAGTCCAGCTACAGGCAGGAGGTGGAACACCTGGAGAGCTGGTGCAGAGAGAATAACCTTCACATCAATGTGAAGAAGACAAAGGAGATGATTGTGGACTTCAGAAGGAACAAAAACACCTACACCCCCCTGAACATAAGAGGATCTGCGGTGGAAGTGGTCTCCAGCTACAAGTACTTAGGTGTACACATGAATGACAACCTCAGCTGGAGCAACAACACCACCAGCCTGATCAAGAAAGCTCATCAGAGACTCTACTTCCTCAGACGGCTGAGGCGAGCTGGTCTGGGAAGCTCAGTCCTCACCTCCTTCTACAGGTGTGCAGTGGAGAGCATCCTGTGCTCGAGCATCAATGTGTGGCATGGAGGCTGCACAGCTGCAGAAAGAAAAGCTTTGCAGAGAGTGGTGAAGGCTGCACAGAAATCTGTCGGAATCAGTCTCCCCACCATCACAGACATCTACACCTCCAGATGCAGGAAGAGGGCCACCTGCATCATGAAGGACCCCACCCACCCAGCACACACACTTTTTGCCCCACTCCCCTCAGGAAGGAGGTTAAGGAGCATTAAGTGTAGAACCACTAGACTGAGGAACAGCTTCTACCCTGAGGCTGTTAGACTCATGAATCTCTAACTAGAATAATCACTGTGAAAAACCATATCATGTTGCTGCTGATCTGTTTCATGTTGCTGCTGATCTGTTTCAATGTTGATGTGTTCATGCGTGCACATCTGCTCACAGACTCATGTTCATGTTTGTGCTGATGTTCAATGTTTTATGTTATGAGTGCTTAGTGTATATTTAGTTGATGTTTTTCTTAGTTCATATCTTAGATGTTATTACTGTTTTTCTTATACATTTTATTGTTGGATGTAACTGGGACCTTGTGTACATAATTTCGCTCCACCACATGTACCACATGAGGTGCGAATGACAATAAAGAAACTCTGACTCTGACTCTGACTCTGATACATACATACATACATACATACATACATACATACATACATACATA